TACGAGTGTGGAGTGAAGGTAGGACTGCCGGCATTGTTGCCGGGCTGTGTCCTGGAGGTCAGCACCTCTGATGTGCGATTGGGGGTGAAAGCAGGACCGCCGTCATTGCCGCCAGGCTGTGTCCTGGAGGTAAGACCGCCGGCATTTGCGCCGGGCTATGTCCTGGAGGTCAGTGCCTCTGGTGTGCGTGTGTTGAGTGGGAGCAGGACCGCCGGCCTCGCCGCCGGGCTGTGTCCTGGCAGCATCTCTGATGTGCGAGTGGGATGGCAGCAGGACCGCTGGCATTTGCGCCGGGCTATGTCCCAGAGGTCAGTGCCTCTGGTGTGCGTGTGTTGGGTGGGAGCAGGACCGCCGGCCTCGCCGCCGGGCTGTGGCCTGGTCGGCGATGCCACTATGGTGTGCGAGCGTCGAGTGGAGGCAGGACCGCCTGCATGGTCGCCAGGCTATGTCCTTGAGGTCAGCACCTCTGATGTGCGAGTGGGGGTGAAAGCAGGACCGCCTGCACTGCCGCCGCGCTGTGTCCTGAGGGTCATCACCTCTGGTGTTCGCGCGTGGGATGGCAGCAGGGCCGCCGGCATTTGTGCTGGGCTATGTCCTGGAGGTCAGTGCCTCTGGTGTGCGTTTGGGGGTGAAAGCAGGACCGCCGGCATTGCCGCCGGGCTGTGTTCTGGAGGTAAATACCTTTGGATTCGCGCCTAGGATGGCAGCAGGACCGCTGGCATTTGCGCCGGGCTATGTCCTGGAGGTCAATGCCTCTGGTGTGCGTGTGTTGAATGGGGGCAGGACCGCCGGCCTCGCCGCTGGGCTGTGTCCTGGAGGGCGATGCCTCTGTGGTGTACGAGTGTGGAGTGGAGGCAGGACCGCGGTTGGAAAGGAACCATGTTCCTCCACTGCGAAAAAATACGAATTACCTCGAGGTGGCCATCAGTGAGGAGGGAAATTTGCCGCGGGTGGAATCCGTCGTAGGTCTGCGCCGTCTTGGAAGGGAATGCCTGCGCCGCAGCTCTGATTTCTTCGGCCGTGAGCCTTGGGAGGGGGGGCCCTTCAGGGATGAAGGCCTTGAGCTGGGCAGAGGACGACTGCCAAAGGCGCGACATGCGCGCGGCTTCGCCTTCCAGCATTGTGGAAGGCCTTGCCGACCAAAACGTGCCAGCCTTGACATAGGTTGGCTGCCATGCTGTCCTTGGTCCACTCGTGGGACCAGCCGATAGAAGAGGAGTTGGCCTGAGAGACCCATTTTTTCCACGCCTGGGTGCCATCTACTTTTTCTTGCCTCAACTCAGTGACCAAGGCGTTTTTGAGCGCCGCCATGACAGGGCTGAGTAGCGCAATAGCTTGCTCAGCGGAAGTGCTGAGGCATGTTCCGCCTGGGGCGAATTGGCGACATGCCTCCACCGCCTGGTCCACAAGGAGCGCAACAGAGAGAGGGACGGGGGAGAGGTCCAGGGGGGGCTGAGACAGACCAGAGATCGCTAGCTCTAGGGACTCTCTTGTGGCAGTGGCTCGATAAACGTTGGCCAGGGCCTGGACAGCCCACTGGAGGGGCTCTGATTGGGAGGCCCAGGAAACCGGCACCTGAGACTCAGGAGATTTCCAAACAATGCGAGGCCCGCGGTAACACCATGGCCGGTCTAGGGAGAGACACACAATCGTATCCAATGTCTTGCTCAAAGCAGAAACGAAGCCTGCATAGAATATGAATAACAGATTATCCCAGTGCGACCCTACCTTGGAGTTGGAGCATTTAGGAAAGCAACATCTACATCTACACCGACAGCTACATGTACATCTACACCTGCATCTACATCTACATCAACATCAACAGCGAGACTCACATCTACATCTACATCTACACCTACATCTACATCTACATCTACACCTACATCCACATCTACACCTACACCAACATCTACATCTACATATACACTTTCGCATTGGTTTTGTTTTAGCTGTGCATTGCCGTTGCTTTTGCTCTTGCCTTTGCTTTTGCCTTTGCCTTTGATGTTGCGTTTGCTTTTGCTTTTGCTGTTGCGGTTGCTTTGCTTTTGTTGTTGCTTGAGTGTGGTTTTGCTTTGTCTGCGCACATAGCATAGCTTTGCCAATGCTATGCTATGCTGCGCTATGCTATGCTATGCTATGCTATGTTGTGCTATGCTATGCTATGCTGCGCTGTGCTATGCTAAGCAATGCTACGCGATGCGATGCTATGATATGCTGCGCTATGATTCGCTATGCTATGCTATGATGTGCTATGCTCTGTTATGCTGAGCTGTGCTATGCTATGATAGGATTGGCTATGCTATGTTATGCTGTGATAATGCTGCGCTGCGCTTTGCTGCGCTGCGCTGAGCTAAGGTCAGCTAAGTTAAACTGAGCTAAGCTAGGCTAAGCTAAGCGAAGCTAAGCTAGACTGAGTTAAGCTAAGCTAAGCTAAGCAACGCTAAGCTAGGCTAAGCTAAGATGAGATGAGATAAGCTAAGCTAAGCTACCCTAATTTAAGCTAAACTCAGCTTAGCTAAGCTAAGCTGGGTGAACCCAGGGGGCGCAACTGGGGGAACCGCGGGGCGGATGCTGGGGGAACCGCCCGGGGCGCTTTCCACTGCCCGGCCCCTTTAAGCCCAGAGAGTAAGAAACCTTCTAGGCAGAGCGGCAGAGCTTAGGTAGGGAATAAACAGGTGCAATTGGACACAGCACTCTTGTGCGCGAGTGTGGAACTTGAGCCCAACGCAGTAGAAAGGCGCCGCATTCGAGGGGTAAAACAAAGGCGGGGCCGCCAGCATTTCCGCTGGGGGTCTATACCTCTGTTTTTTTGCGAGTGTGGAGTGGAAGCATGACCGCCGGCATTGCCGCCAGGCTGTCCCAAAGGTCGATACCTCTGGTGTGCGAGCGTGGAATGAAGGCATGACCGCCGGCATTGCGCCGGGCTATGTCCTGGAGGTCAGTGCCTCTGGTGTGTGAACGTTGAGTGGAAGCAGGACCGCCGGCCTCGCCGCCAGGCTGTCCTGGAGGACGATGCCTCTATGGTGTACGAGTGTGGAGTGAAGGCCGGACTGCCTATTGCCGCTGAGCTGTGTCCTGGAGGTCAGCACCTCAGATGTGCGAGTGGGGGTGAAAGCAGGACCGCCGGCACTGCCGCGGGGCTGTGTCCTGGAGGTAAATACCTCTGGATTCGCGCGTGTGATGGCAGCAGGACCGCCGGCATTTGCGCCGGGCTATGTCCCGGAGGTCAGTGCCTCTGGTGTGCGTGTGTTGAGTGGGAGCAGGACCGCCGGCCTCGCCGCCAGGCTGTGTCCTGGTGGGCGATGCCACTATGGTGTACGAGCATGGAATGGAGGCAGGACCGCCGGCATGTTCGCCGGGCTGTGTCCTGGAGGTCAGCACCTTTGATGTGCGAGTGGGATGGCAGCAGGACCGCAAGCATTTGCGCCGGGCCATGTCCCGGAGGTCAGTGCCTCTGGCGTGCGAGTGTTGAGTGGGAGCAGGACCGCCGGCCTCGCCGCCAGGCTGTGTCCTGGAGGACGATGCCTCTATGGTGTACGAGTGTGGAGTGAAGGCCGGACTGCAGGCATTGCCGCCGGGCTGTGTCCTGGAGGTTAACACCTCTGATGTGCGAGTGGGGGTGAAAGCAGGACCGCCTGCACTGCCGCCAGGCTGTGTCCTGGAGGCTAGCACCCGTGCTGGTCTCTTGCCACTGTCGCCCCGCTACTCACTCTTCGAGGGGCTCGGCAGGGGTGCTCGTCGGGTGTGGCAAAACCGCACCCTTAGCGGCGCCCCGTGCGTCCCCAGCCGATTCCGACAGAGGAGTCTGGAGCAGCATTGGCACGGGGAGAGGAGGAGGAGGAGGAGGAGGAGGAGGAGGAGGAGGAGGAGGAGGAGGAGGAGGAGGGGAGGAGGAGGAGGAGGAGGAGGAGAAAGAGAAAGAGGAGGATGAGGAGGTGGAGGAGGAGCGTGCGGACCCAGGATCGACCGATTACGGCGGGATGACAACGTCTGGTTCAAGCAGCGGTGGCTCTGGCATGGCGGCAACGGCTGGCCGCAGCAGGCGGGCGAGAGGAGGAAACAAGAGGAGTGGGAAAATAAGGAGGAGGAGAAGGAGGAGGAGGATGAGGAGGGGGGGGAGTGGAGGAGAGGGAAGAGGGAAGTGGAAGAGGAGGAGAGGAGGAAGAAGAGGAGGAGCGAGGAGAGGAGGGAGAGGAAGGAGGGAGCACGAGGGAGGAGAGGAGGAGGAGGAGGAGGAGGAGGAGGAGGAGGAGGAGGAGGAGCGTGAAGACCCAGGGTCGACCGATGACAGCGGGACGACAGCGTCAGGTTCAGGCAGCGGTGGCTGTCAGGATGGCGGCAGCGGCTGGTGAGGAGGAGGATAAGGAAGGGGAGGAGGAGGGGGAGGAGGAGGGGAAGGAGGAGGAGGAGGAGGAGGAGGAGGAGGAGGAGGAGGAAGCGGGGAGGGGTGCGGGAGGAGGCCGTGGACCTGCGGGCTCGCTGCTTCAGGTCGAGAGAGGCCCAGACCTCCGACGCCGCGCTTGTTGTCACAGCGTGGGCCCCCACAGGTTTCATCCCCTTCCTGGCTGTCGGTCGTCCCAACGGCGCACACTAGCGCGTGCAATCGCGCGTCCAACAGTGCACAAGGGTGCGCAGAGCGGACGCGACGCGCCCCCCTCGCATGGCGATGTTGGGCGCTACCTGGGAGCTCTTCGGTGCTGCCAGGCGCTATGCATTCAATGCAAGGCGAGCGGGCGCTTCCGCGACAGACTACCTAAGCTCTTCGCCCCGAATCGTTGCACAAGGGTCCCGGGGGCCAGCGAGGGCCCCCAGGGGCCGAAAAGGGTCCGAAAGCCTTCCGTCGCGTTTTCGTCGTGGCGCGGGGGGGGCCCGGAGAGGTCGGCCCTCCACTCCCCACGAAGGACGGCCTCTCGGGGAGGACGCCCTCCGGCAGCCTGGGCACGTCGGGGCTCGGAGCGCCCCGGGCGCGCACCGCGGCGGGGCCCTGCTGAGATCGCCGCCGAGGGCCCTATGAAGTCGGCCTTGGAGGTGTCGCCTCGGACTTTCATCATCGTGACCAGCATCTCCGTGAGCGGCAGCTGGCCCTCGCCGTCCTTTGTCTGTTGGTTTCTGTCTGTCTGCCCCTCGCCGTTCTGGCCGGCTGGGAGGCCCTCAGCAGGGGCGTCCTCCTCCTCATCCTCCACCTTCTCCTTCTTCCTCCTCCTCCTCCTCCTCCTCCTGCTCCTCCTCCTCCTCCTCCCCCCTCCGCCCCCTCCTCCTCCCCCTTCTCCTCCTCCTCCTCACCCTTCTCCTCTCCCCCCCCCTTCCTCCCCCCTCCCCTACTCCTCCTCCCCTCTCCCCCTCCTCCTCCTCCTCTTCCTCCTCCTCCTCCTCTCCTCCTCCTCCTCCTCAGCAGGGGCCCGCCTTCTCCTCCTCCTCCCCCCTTTCTCCTCCCCCCCCCCCCCTTCCTCCCCCCTCCTCCCCCTCCTCCTCCTCCCTCCTCCGTTCCTCCTCACCTCCTCCTCCTCCTCCTCCTCTCCTCCTTCCTCCTCCCTCCTCCTCCTCCTCCTCCTCCTCCTCCTCCTCAGCAGGGGGCCCGTCGAGACGTCGGCGGCCCCTCCTGGCCGCCTCGGGCCCCCCTTTCCCAGGCACTCCGACGAGGCCTCCTCGTCACCGCGGCCGAGTCCGCCTTGAGAAGCGGGCCAGGACCCTCTCCCCTCTCCCCTCTCCCCTCTCCCCTCCCCCTCCTCTTCTCCCCTCTCCTCTCCCCTCTCCCTCTTCCTCCCCTCCTCCTCTTCCCCCCCCCCCCTCCCCTCGCCTCGCTCCCTCTCCCCTCTCCCTCTCCTTCCCCTCCCCTCCCCCCCTCGCCTACCCCCCCTCACTCTCCTCCCCCTCCACTCCTCCCAATCCCCCTCCCTCCCCTCCCTTCCGTTCCTCTCCCTCCCCTCCCCCTCTCCATCCCCTCTCCCCTGACTCCGGATCCGCCCTACTTTGTGGCTTTTCTCCAGCTTAAAGTTGCGTCGGAAATCCACCCAGAAGAGGCCGAACAGGTAGGGCGGAAATTGCTGCACCCGACATGAAATAGGGCGGACATCCACAGAAGCAGCAACAGAAAAGTGGGGCGGACATTGGCATCCGCGGGGCTTGAAAAGTAAGGCGGAAATTCCAAGCCCTACTTACGAATTTCCCCAAAGTAGGGCGGATCCGGGGTCAGGGGAGCGTACCCTGGGATGGGGCTCTCGGGGGGTCCCTCTTGGAGCGGAGGTGGACTGGGCGGGGGGTGTCGGCCGCCGTCGTCGAAGCTGGCCCTCCTGGCCGAGGAGCGCCTGCGACCCCGACCTGTCTTGGCCTTCCTCCACGGCCAGGGGGGTCGTTCAGTCGAATGCGGGATCGGTCGGGTCTGCGATGTCTGTTTCTGTCTCGAGGGGGGAGGAGGTTTAGATCTGTACGAGGACAACCCCGACATATATACACCGCAGAACAGAGCGACCTCTGGGCCCGTGGTCCGTCTTGAAGACGTTGAAGAGGCTGGCGTTATCAGTGCCAAGGTCAATGTCTAGCTCACTCAAGGTGCTCTGGACAAACTTGTCCTTGAGCACCTCGTTGAAGGCACCCTCGGAGAGCGTAAGCTGAGAGAGGTCGACCTTGGGGTCTGCCTCGCTCATTGATGACACCTGGCGGCTCAAGAAGGAGTCAGAGATGCTCGAGATCCTCTTGGCCAATTTCTTTCCTGATGGCGGACCCAAGTCAAATCGCGCATGATCCAAAGGGGGACAGGGCCAGGTGGCCTGTGGCGGGACGATAAAAAAATCATTCCTGATTTTATCTCTTCGTCTGAAGTTCCTTCGGGCCAGAGCCCAATTCTGATGTCCTCCTGGACTTTGTGTCATCTGATCCTGCGCTCATGTGGATCTCGTCGTCGAGACGATGCTCCACCTTGTAGGTATGGCTGATGTTTGCGATGCGCTTTACGAGATTGTGCAAGGCTCTCTTCACGTGCTTGACCTGGTACTTCTCCTGCCGCTTGACGTTTTTGTCCTCAGCGGCGAGGCCTTTCATTGTCGACTCGACAAACACTGCGGTGACCCGCCCCCGTGTCCGCGACACGTTGGGTCGCGTTGGAATCCTCTGCTGTTGCCTGGTACGGTCTCTTCAATGTCTCTAGGGCCGGCCCCCCGCTCCTTGTCGCAATCGCCGGCAAAGCGTCGTCCCCCTTGGTTCTGCTTTCCGGCGCCCTCCTGTGGCCTCCAGAACACTCCGAAGACAGCCAGGTGTCGCCTCAAGACAGCCAGGATCGTCACAAAACGGCCCGACAGCTCTCTAGGACGGCCTCATGACCGCCGAAGATGGCCCAGACGCGCTCCGAGATGGTTTAAGACGGCTTCAAGGCAGTTCAAGAAGCACCCAAGACGCCCCAAGAGGGCTCCATGAGTACGACCAAGACACCCTCGAGAGGCAGACCATATTGTTTTCACACGGTTCTTTAATGGATGTTGACTTAATCGCCTTTTCGGGTTTCGAAATCCAGAGACCGCCCAATCGGACCCCCAAGAGGACTCCAATGCGGCTCCAACGGACCCCCAGAAGGCTGCAACATGGCGCAAGAGGGACGCACGAGGGCTCCAAGACGGCCCAAGAGGTACCCAAGCCGGCCCAATAGTCTAGCGAGAATGCTTCAAGAGGGGGGACTCGAGTTGGTCTTAGAAGCTCCTCCTCCTCCTCCTCTCCTACTCCTCGCTCCTCGCTCCTCGTTCCTCGCTCCTCGCCTCGCTCCTCGCTCCTTGCTCCTCGATCCTCGCTCCTCCCTCCTCCTCCTCCTCCTCCTCCTCCTCCTCCTCCTCCTCCTCCTCCTCCCCCTCCTCCTCTCTTCCTCCTCCTCCTCCTCCTCCTCCTCCTCCTCCTCCTCCTCCTCCTCCTCCTCCTCCCCCAACGCGCCCCCAAGAGGCCACCACATACTCTTGAAGACGCCCCCGAGAAGCGCCGAGAGGCCTCCAAGAGGCCCTGAAGAGGTCTCCAAGAGGCCCCCAAGAGGTCCCGAACAGGCCTCCAGATCCCCAATAGACCCCCCCATGCCCCAAGATTGCTCTCAACGACCTCCAAGAAACGCTCAATTCAAGACCCGCTAAAATTCAGTACCCTGTCTGAACTTGAGCGGGTCCTGCAGTAATTATCCTTCCTGCCGTGCTGCTGCACTGATGCGCTGGCACGGTGACAAGGTTTGCCGCAGGCAGCTGGATTACGTTGAAGAGACCGAATATCAGAACAATCATGCCCAGGACGTAGACAACATCAAATCTCACTTTGTAGCCTTCGCTGAGGTGTGCAGGTAATGACTGTCCTCCCTTGGAAGAGCAATCACCAATCATGCAACGGAATATTGTAAATGAGCATTTGGCCACAGTAAGACAGTACTCATCCGCATACAACTTGGCCCTATTCCCGCATTCGGGAAACTCGTTGATCACACTTGCATTTTCATGTTGAGGCATCGAGTCCCCATCGAACCCGCACTTGTCGAGTAACGACTCCTGACCCAGCTCGGGGCCTATTACGCTACGGAAGCCAGCGCCAATCACCCACACGACCATACAAATCAACACGAACACCCACAGCAGCGCTGGTAAACCGAGCAAGAAGCCCTGAAACATGTTGGCCAATTCTTTCAGGAGGGGAGATCTTAACATCTTGAGCAATCGCGCAAAGCGCAAGAGGCGTAGGGCTCTCATGGCGATTACGACCGAACCAACCGAGAGCATCTGATCAACCTCTACGCTCTCTAGCCGTACGAGTATGCCAGCCCCGACTTCCAAGAGTTGAACGCATGTAACGCATATGTCGCACCAATTCCACCTCCAGTCCAGACCGAATAGGAATTCTTTACGGCCGTAGACGCTCAACTTGGCCAACAACTCTATGATGAAGACCGTCGCCGCGAGGATCTCAAGATCTGCGGGCCTTCTTGTGGCCAGCAGGCTGTGGAAGCCAATATATCTTTGCAGCGCGCGTTTCTGGTTGTGCATATGTTTTGTTTGCTTGCTTGTTTTTTTGTGTCTCCCTGAAGCAATGCTGTGCGATGCGGGTGCAGGACGCGCTCGATAATGAATCGCTTCAAATGTCTGCCGATTGGGGGACAAGCGGTAATGCCGTGATCGCAGCGCTGTTCGCATAACTGGAAGGCCTTCTGAGTCCTGAGAGACAGATCGCCCTTGGTTCTCTGCCTTCAATCTATGTGGGTACGCTCCTCATGGTGTATCATGCTGTCATGGCGTAAGCCCCTTTTGGGAGCGCATGCCAGGACTCTCTGGTGCAAATGGTGTCCTTCGTTATCAATGGGGCAATGATTCAACCCACTGCAGAACGCATTGTAGTAATTCATTCGCCATGGTTCCCATTGTTCAATACTCACTCCGACCACATTAGTTACTGCTGATATGTTTTGTGGGGGCCTGGGCAGTTCGGCTGCGACGCATTCGTGCACTACCTTTGTTTCCACAATTGGTATTGGACCAGCACATACCTTTGTTGCAACGTCTTCGCCCGCGCGGGCTTGCGCTCTTACCGGTAATCGACTTTCGGTGCACGGAAAAAAAGGCGTCCGTGCTGAGGAAAACAAGGTGTACTTGCGCTAGCTCGCTGGAAAGAATTCAGCATGCATCCGCGACGGTCAGGAACTTCTGCTGGGCGTGTCGTGGTGACGGCCCCTGCGACGCGCCACGCCTCGCGCGCAGCGTTTCGCTCTGCCCCGCTGGGCGAGAGGCTTGAAAGGGCTCGGGACGTGGACGCTCGGGGACCAGGACGTGACTAGCGTGTCGCGCCGAGGCGTGGTGGGCCCGAGCCAGCGGCGCGACACGCTGAGCCAAAGTTCCTGATCGTATTCGCGAACGCGCGACCCCAAGGCCCAAGCCCATTAGATTTAAGACGAAACCCTAGTTTTCATCGGCTCTTTCAGGGCCCCCGGCCTCAGCCTGTGGCTGCCTTGTGACCAAGTCCGTGGCATCGACGCAGCGGGCCTACGAAAACCAGCGGCGGCGCAGGACAGCTTCGATATGCTTGAAAATGGTTTCAGAAAACTTCAAATATTTAGCAACTCGCCCCATTCGACTTCTGACTCCCCAGTTGCCTCCTGCAAACAGAATGAGGATCTACTTCTCGAATGCTGACCAGTATCCTGGTTTTCCAAAGCCGACAGCGGCCTCAGTTGGGCAAGCGGCCTTCTGTCTCAAATGAACAACGCCCGCAGCGACATGGACAGCGAACCCTCTTCAAAATGAGCAGGAAAGGCTGTTGGTCTTCATGCCAATTTTCCGTACCCATTTCGATCGTACCGAGAGCCAACTTTGCCCACGGGGACCGTGATTATTTGTTGAACCTGGGCAGCGAGGCTGACTCCCGGAGGTGCCTGAGCCCCCGTGCCCGGGGTTCCTGGGCCGTCGGTTGCTTGTGATCGACCCTGCGCCGCTGTGCAGCTCTATGTTACGCTATGCTGATATGATCTCACGCAGACCTCTGCTGGCCAGGAGGGGCCCAAGACGGCCCAAGTAGCAAGTGAGATTCCCAGGGGCACGGCTGCTAAAAATGGGCCCGGAAACGCACCCAAAACAGAACGGTTTTAGATTTTCCAAAATAAGGCAAAAACTCAACCACTCCCAGAAAAGGGTCGGACAAATTACATATGGCACCCCCTTTTCCAAAATACGCGTAACAAATTATCAAAAATGGGTGGTTCCGTCTTTTTGGCCGGAGACATCCCGCGAAAAATGACCCACGGCACCCCAGCCCCAAAATGGTTCATTTTGGCCGCACATTTTGTGTGGCCGTGCCCCCAAGAATATAGTTCCTGACCAAGAGAGCCCCAGGACGGCCAACTAGTGCAGAGTCCCACGACAAACCCACACGAAGCCCCTGTTCGCCCGCAAGGGGCGGAGGTGATTAGCCGGAGGCGTCTTCGATAAAACCAGATTTCACAATTATAACAATAATCCATGCTCAGCGCCATGGAGACGACGCTGGTTACTACTGTGATCGCGACCACGTAATTCAGCAACAGCATGGCCACACCTATCCGCACGAAATGGAACTTCTTCAAGTCACAATTCTGTCGGATCCCCCGTCGGACCATTCCTTGGACCGCAAGACACCAAACAAGGTGATACATCAGAGTGAACGGGCGAACCGTGATTCACTGTCCCTGGGTGCGTGGCTGAAGTGGGGTTCCGGGGAGCAGATGATTCATTTGGGGATAGCGTTATCGCTCGAGACTTCCTCGCGTTTCATGCAGGACGCACGCTTCGGCAACCCGCCTGCCCCTTGTCCCTTCCTTTCAACCGTCCTCTCTTCTTCCCTGCCTCAGGGGCTGCACGACATACACGTTGCAGGTGATAAAGACATACCCTAAAAGGTTACGACCGATACGTATTGAATGGCTAGCAAGAACATGAAACCGAACAATCTTAACTCTTCCCTGGGGGTCCTCCTCATCTCTTTCCCCAGGCCGGGGCGCCTCCTCCTCCTTCTCCTCCTCCTCCTCCCCCTCCCCCTCCTCCTCCTCCTCCTCCTCCTCCTCCTCCTCCTCCTCCTCCTCCTCCTCCTCCTCCTCCTCCTAGGTGGCTCGCGGCGGGCCATAGCCGTTTTTCCCCGCGGCCGGCACGGGGGCCCGCGCGCGATAGACCCCAGCGCCGCCTGAGGGGCGGGCGCGACCGACGGCGGACTCCGACTGCAGGGGGCGGTCGAGGTCGCCAGCGTGGCACCGCCGCCTGCGCCGACTGCGATCGCAGGCGCGGGGGCGACTCCAACATCAGCGCGACGTCGCGCGTCTCGCCGTGCACCACGGCAGCGCGCCACCGATGCATGCAGCAGGGGCACAGGCGGGGCGCGGGGGCGCACCTCGCCCTTGGGCGTGCCAGCGCTGCGGCTGCCGCAAGAACGAGGAGTGGTGGACCTGGTGCGGCCACTGCAAGAAGCCGCTGGTTCTCGTCCAGGCTCGTCTTAATGGTGGTGGCGGCGGCGGCGCACATCGCGACCAGAGACGCCCCCCGAGCCGCGACCGTGACGGCGGCCGTGGCTGCCCACCCTGGCGCGAGGCGACAGGGGGTGCTTCGGCCAGCGCACGCTCGGCGTCTGGGAGCCGAGGCGCAGGCAGCCGCCGAGTGCGCTTCTCCAGCGCCCTCGCCCTCGTGCCAGCGGACGAGGACCCAGAGGAGTCAAAGCTCGTCCAGCTGGTGGAGCTACTCCGCCTCAGCGGCGACGGGCCAGAGGTCGCCAAGTACCAAGCGGAGCTGGACGAGGTCAGGGCTCAGCGCGTGGCCAGGCCCATGTCCGCGGACGAAGCATGCAAGGCCAAGGAGGCAGCGGCGGAGGCGCTCCAGGAAGCCATGCTGGAGGCTGGGGAGCTACAGCGGCAGCTGGACGAGGCCAAGGCCCGCGTGGGCGAGCGCTCCGAGGTCCTCGATCGCGCCGCCCAGTCGTACACGGCTGCGGTGCATGCCTTGGCCGCGTCTGTGGCGCCCAAGCCCTCGCCAGACGCCGCCGCCGTGCCGCGCCTCAGCATCTCCGCTGTCCTGGCTGGCGAGACGGCTTGGGCGCTGGACGACGAATGCCTCTTCGGCTTGAAGGGGCTGGGCGGCTTCGAGGTCGAGGAGAGCGACCACCAGGAGGCTCAGAGGCGCAGGCAGGAGCTGCAGGACAAGTTCGGCAGCATGGCGCGCGAGGCCTTCGGCCAGTTCAAGGCCTCCGTCCAGGAGCTCGAGGAGGCGCGCCGAGCGCAGCGGGACCGCCTCAGGACGAAGAAGCGCAGGACCGCGGAGGCCACCGAGGACGGAGGCGCTGCTGCCGAGCGGGCACCTGCAGCAACGGCTGCAGCCGCCGCCGCGACGCCACAGGCGTCCGCGGCGGCACGGGCACCCCCGCCAGCCGCCGCCGCGACGCCACAGGCGCCCGCAGCGGCGGCACAGTCGGCCCCCAGCACGGCCGCCACGCCAACGCCTGCCCCTGACGTCATGGAGCAGGGCCGAGCTCGACTGGCAGCAGCGGGGAAGGCCGCGGGCGGGCCGCCAGGCCAGGCAGGCACCCCCGCGGCTGGCACCAAGGGCCTCGGGCGCGGCGGCGGCGCCTCGGCCTGAGCTGCGGGCGCCATAGGCGCGCCGCACTCGGCGAGGCCTCCGACGTCGGACGACGGTGCCTGCCATGCCCCTCGCTAAGCACGCGGCGGACATGACCAGGGATCGGGAGTCCCTGGGCGACGGCTGCGGCTACAACCACATGGCCTACTACGGGCTGGACGGCTACTCAAGGGAGTGCGAGGCCAGCTGCAACGACGACTACAACTACGGCAACACGTCGGCCCTCGGCTGCTCAGGGGAGTGCTACGACGTCGACTGGCCCGCTACCACGAGGTCGCCCCCCTCGGCCCCCCTCGCCATCGAAGGGGGCAACGAGGAGGGTCAGGGCCATGTGCGAGCTATTCGGTGTCAACGTCCCGCTCGTCGGCGTCTGCTTGTGCAGACCCCTGCCCACCTCGTCACCCCCGCAGCGCGTGGCCCTCTTCGGAAGTCGAGTCGCATCGGGGCTCCCGCAGCGCGCGGCCCTCTTTGAAGGCTGAGCCGCCCCGGGACGTCGGCCTCCCGAAAGGAGATCATGGGCAGGGGGCGCCGGCTGCCGGGCGCTGCGCCGGGCCCTCGGCTACCCTGGGTGACGGTGAGTCCCTCCCCGTGGCAGGCGTGGGCCCGTCGGTCGGTGCGCCCCTCGACGCAAAGCGTGGGCCCGACTGCCCAGAGGTGGCCAACGCTGCGGGTTGACGGAGTGCCCCTCCCTGGGGGCGGCGCGGACCCGTCGGTCGGCGAGCCCCTCTGCGTGAGGCGCGGGCCCGACTGCTTAGCAGCGGTGGGCGCTGGGCCGAGGCAGTCGGCATCTCTGCGGCCGCGCAGCTACAAGGGCGATGGCGACGCCCTGGCCGTCATGACGGTGAATGTCACGTGCTGGGGCGCCTGCCTGGCACAGCTGGAGCAGGGCAGCGTCGACGACGAGGCGCAGGCCACCCTCGTCCAGGAGCATCGCCTGTTCGACGACCTACGGCGGGCAGCAGCCGTTCGAGCAGCCAAGCGAGCGGGGTGGGTTGGCCGACCTCGTCCCCGCGACTGCGACGGACAAAGGTGGAGCATCCCCAGGAGTTGGAATTTTGGTGCGCCCGCGGGTGCGCATAAAGCGCGTCGAATTCAGTGAGGGCCGCCTTTCGATTCGTTGCTCTGCCCGTTTGGGTTTCTGGATGCCATGGTTGGGTTCGACTTCGGACACCTTGCTGATATCGGCGTATTTCCACACCAACCAGGACCTGAGCGACTTCAACCTGGACCTGCTGACCAACTTGGGCTCGGTCGTCAGGGCCATGCGCCGCCCCTCTGTCGTGGGGGCCGACTGGGACATGCTGCCCGAGGTCGTGGACGAGGCTCGCCTGCCCCCCGCGCTTGGCGCGCGCTCACGGCGACATCTGCGAGGGAGCTGGACTACTTCTGCGTGGGCGTGGACGCGGACACGTCCATCAAGGGCACCAGTCGCTGCGACCGCTTCGATGCGCGGACGCAACGTGCGGCGCTGCTGCAGCTGGCCTTGCCGGAGCCAGGCGGCTCGGCGATGCGAGTGCATGCGGCCCGAGCTTGCCCAGCCCACCCAGGCCTTGATTGGGCCTCGGCTCCCAGGCCCTGACTGGACCGTCGCCCACGGCAACCTGGCCACGGTGACCACGGCAGCAGGCTTGGAGGCAGCCTGTGGCAGGGCCCTGGACACATACGAAGATGAGCTACTGCGGCACCTCGGCCTGGAGGGCGCCCGCGAGGCAGGCAGGTTCTCCGGCAGGAGCGAGGGCCTGCGCCTTGCCCAGACCCAACTGGACCGCCACCGCTCCAGCAGCTGGCAGCCCACGGCAAGCCAGACCCCTCGGATGCACATTGGGGCTGGCTGGGCGACAGGAGCGGCGGCTGCTGCAGGCGGCGGGGCCGGCCGCCCATGCGCGGCGCCTGCAGGTAAAGCTCCTGCGCTTCAGGCCGCCCGCCCCTGGCGGCGAACCTGCGGCGCGGCGCGCCTGGCGGCGGCTGGCGAGGCGTCTACACCGTCATCCTGATGATGAATGTGATGAGCTGCTGGCCTTGCTTCGACGGCAAGCCTTGGCGGCGGCAGGGCGCGCGTCGCACAGGCGCCACAGGTCCTGGCTCGACTGGGCGCGCGACGCCACTGCCGCCGAGGGCCTGCGCAGGGCTTCCCGCTGGATCCGCGAGCCCGCCCCATGGGCAGCTGCCCGTTGGTCGCCTGCGGTGGGCCTGCAGACCGTGCAGGAGGCGGCCGACGCGGCCATCCGCCCATGGCACGCCCTGTGGGGCGAGGGTGCTGGGCTGGACGCGGTCAACTGGCCAGCGGAGTTGGGCGACGGCCCTCCACTGCCGACGCCCGGCGAGCTGCGCATGGTGGGCCACTCCTTCCCGCGCGTCGCGGGGTTGGGAGGTGATGCATTCCACCCTCGGCGCGCCACCTCCCCGTCCGACGGCGCGCTGGAGGCCCTCGCCACCGTCTGGGCGCACATGCTGACCCTTGGACGCCCCCAAGACAATGGCGGTGCTGCAGATGGCGCTGATCCCAAAGGCCGAGTCGGGAATCCGTACCATCGGGCTCTTCGCGGGAGTGCTGCGCCCCTTCGCACGCTGGGCGCGCGGCACAGTCGGCGCACGCTCGGCGCACGCTGGGCCAGCGCCCACCAGCGGGACTACAACTACGGCGCGTTGGGTCGCAGATGCGAGACGTGCGCGCGGGCCCAAGCGGCCGCTGCTGAGGTCGCGACTCACCGCGAGCAGGCGACCAGCTGAGTCCTGATGGACCTCTCCAAGGCGTACGAGCACATCCCGTGGGCGCTGCTGGTCGTCCGAGACCGTGCGTTGAGCTTCGGCATAATGCTGATGCGGCTGCTCATCAGGCTCTACGCCCCGTCGAGGCTCGCCACCGTGGATGGCGTGGCGATGGGCCGGTGCGTCCCGCAGCGGGGCGTTGTGGCAGGCTGCAGCTTCGCTGACCTCTGC